CCACACAAAAAAAAAAGAACTTTGTGTCACATCCCAAACTACCCCCTAGACGTGACTGACACCAGCTAACACCACCTGCCAGGCGAACCCCTTTCTTTAACGTTTAACCATTTACACAAACACTGGGGAAAAAAATACAGACCTAATAGTATTATTAATAATTAAAGAGGAAACGATTATCGCCAATACCCTAGTCAATTGATAGAAAAACCAACAATAACTCAATTAATAAAACTCTAGCCCAAATCCCACACTAAGACCATGGAGTATCTAACAGAGTAATATGAGGTTTATCGACGGGTTTGCAAACCCNTTCTTTGTCTAAGATTTATAAAATGTATTTTTACGGGGAGAAAGTACTTGCAATTTTTTTAATTAGCAGTGCGATTCAAAATTTAGGGCTTATGCATGCTCTTAAAGCATGTTGAATTATATGAATTGTCTCGTTTAAAAGTTTAAGTTGTCTAATAGGGACACTTTTGATTATTTATATTAGTCTTCAATAATTGTCATCTTTCCGAATTAACTATTGTGATCCCTTAAGTTCCTTTGTACTATACTGTCTTGTTTGGTCGACGCAAGGCGACAACATTGTTCTGAGGATACTGGGTGTTCAATAGAGGATGAAATGTTATGCATTAGACAATTAAATTATTCTTGCATTGAGTGTGTACAAGTCGTTGAAGACACTACAATTTTGTGTGCATCATATAATGGTGGCGTCTACGCCAGCTTGGCGCACCTTGACTATCCGACCAGATAATATGTACTTGCTACATCCCACGAGCATATGTACTAGGTAACTTCGCCCATCAAGGCTTAGACAATAACAACATACCAGTGTATGTGGGTCTGGTGAAGGTATTGTGTACGGAGATCTTACCCCTAGCTTGTGGAGGTAGAGAGACTGTTCCAATAGACCCTCGCCCAAGGAAAGCATGAGCACAACAGTAATGAAAAAAAATACGGTAGTGTAGAAGCCATGAAAAAGAAACAGTAACAACAGTTAGATACTAAGATGGCCGAAGCGAAATAAACAACAAGTAGTAATAGAAATCTAAGAATAAGACCATACGAGAATATGCACTAATACTACTGGTATGGGAAAGAAGAAAAAAAAGCTGACATTGTTGTAGGTGCATCAAGGGTTAAAGCAGTACCATGATAGAGAAATAGCAGCGTGAGTTCAACGAAATCACTTAGCTACAATTTTGTATACTCTTGTTGAATGGAGACTTTAGATCCGTGCAACTTAAAAATCTTGAATTTCGTTGAACTCACACTGCTATTTCTCTATCATAGTACTGCTTTAATCTTTGATGCACCAATAACAATGTCAGATAATAGTAATTGTTGATTTTGAACCGAAGTGATTTAACTTCCATTGTGAGGGAAAACTCATAAGGTGAAAGTAAGTAAATGAAACTTTGGGACTTCCAAATTCTTATAGAGGGACTTGTTAGCTTTGTAAAAGTGATCATGTAGATCTCACTGTAAGGAATTCCCAAAAAGAATTTTTATTCTTTTGTGTCTCTCAATCAGTAAATCGTCCTATCGAATCTTGCTTTAATATAATTCTTTTGTGCTTTTGAACAAAATATTGTGTATTTCTTGATATATATGCTTGTGATTGTGTCCCTCCTCTCTCTGTTACAGAGACCAAGATATTACCTAGTACATGGTCTCCTACTAATTTCCTTTGGTTGGTTAGATAGATGGCCAGGCGGAATTAGTGATGTTTGGTCAGTGCAACTGTACTGTACTGAAAAGTATAAGTGTCCTTAGTTGATGTACTTCCGAGTCTAATGGCTGATTTCAATACCTAATCATAATTATTGAAGGAACAATCGAACAAGTGCAAATTTTATTCAGTTTTACCTCCCCNTAGTAAGATCCTCGACCCGTCACTTTAAATACCTCTAGAACAAGTGTTAGAAAATACAAACACACTGCAACACGAATAATATAGTAAATATGATAATTATACAATAACTCAATATATGTGTATCAACAGAGTTATTAAGAATTAACCAACAAGGATACCCACTAAGGACTTATCATAATTGCAGTGAAAGAAATTTACCAACACAATTACGAGTCCACAACAGCACCACAATGCCTCAAATATGTAACAGAGCATACACAATGCTCGGGTGATGTACAAAGGCATACACAATGCCCCAACATCATGGCGCACAACCGTATCAAACTCAACATCATGGCGCACAGCCGTATCAAACTCAACATCATGGCGCACAGCCGTATCAAACTCAACATCATGGCGCACAGCCGTATCAAACTCAACATCATGGCGCACAGCCGTATCAAACTCAACATCATGGCGCACAGCCGTATCAAACTCAACATCATGGCGCACAGCCGTATCAAACTCAACATCATGGCGCACAGCCGTATCAAACTCAACATCATGGCGCACAGCCGTATCAAACTCAACATCATGGCGCACAACCGAATCACACTATCAAACAACTTATAAAATAATTTTTTTTTTTCATAAAATAATATATTTGCGGCTTGTCTAAGACCACCGACTCTGCCAAGCGCACGCTTGTCCCAACACATGGACCAGGCAGAGAAAACACACTTTCAAAACGGGTTTTAGAAAAGCAAGTATCAAAGTTTAAAGTCTCACTTACCTCATTAACCACATGTTTTCCAACCTTGCAACGTCTAGAGCACCAACCAAACAGTCTCCAATGGTCTTAATCTATGCAAAATATTGATTACAATATCAATTATAATTGTCGTTCATTTCATAGTTTTTCTTATATCTCAAGCTTAAAGCTAAATCTCAATAATCTACGCCTTAAACCATATGTTTTAAAGTAAAACCACATCCCAATATTGCATTACAGCTTATTATTCAGTATATAATTCATATATATTAATATCCATGTCCAAAAGTATGAAAATAACAATGTAGGAGTTATAATACCTTGTGCGTAAACGCAAAGAACACTACAAATCAATTTCGTTTTCTCCAAAAAGAATCGCTGCCAATCTCCTTATCCGATCCTGTGATGATTTACCATTCTTTTATAATCTTTTTTTTTTAAACCACTGTAGCAACTCCAAACAATTAACCTCACTCCATTCTTGATTGTAGCCGTCAGGAGTATTTGTTCGAATTCGCATTTAAGAGTTGGTATCAATACCTTATATATCTAAACCCTAATGTACCAGTAGCCCCCTTTCCATGCAACCTCACGCGAGGACATCTCAAAGTAAAAAGATATAGTCTTGGCCCATTTATTTTACTATTAAATAATCCTTCGGTGACAACTAGTAGTATGTAGTATAAAATTAATTCACTAAATAATTATTTCTCTGCTTCATACTTTATCTATGTAATTAATATTCCAAAGATTAATTACATATGCACATATATATTACATAGATATAATAATATCCGCTTCGATATGTAATCCGTTAAAATTTCTAAAGTATAATTAAGAAAATAACTTAAGAATTTACTCTTAAAGTATGGGTTATTACACGTTGGTCTTACATTGATCAACATTCAAAACATTCTGTGGACTCTCATCATTATTGGCTGTTGCAAAAGAACTGCCATTTAGATGTATGATGCTAAAGTGGTAGGTGGCTTATACGATCTTAATGCAGGAAGAACTGGATGATATTATAAGGTATGGCTCAAAAGAGTTATTTGCTGATGAGAATGATGAGGCTGGAAAATTGCGGCAAATTCATTACGATGATGCTGCAATAGATAGGTGAGTTTTCTTTAGGTCAGGTGCAGTTTCTCTCTTTTTTCTTTAGTTCTCGTTTAGAGTTGGTATTGGTTTATATCACGTGAATGAAAGATTTTCTACTTTCTTTTCTCAGATTGCTCAATCGCGAGCAATTTGGAGATGAGGATGCTGTATTGGACGATGAAGAAGAGGATTCATTTTTGAAGGCCTTTAAGGTTTATATCTCCTCTATAACACTTTTATGATTGAAAGTGATTTTGCAGTGATAATGAATTTTACCTATCTTCCCCCAACATCTCTATGGTAAGGAGTTAGCTGAATTATACCATGTGTCCTTCAGTGTCAAAAGCTCACGTTTTGGTCATGCATGGTCCCTTGCCAATCTGTTGGGTATAGGTCATGTCCTCTATATGCCGGACCTTATATCTGACTCCGATATCACACTGTTCCATTTCCATAGGTTCAAGAGTCATCCTACATAACTACAATCTCTTTATGCAAGCACTACTTAGAATGCATTTAATACTGTTCGGTTCTGTCTAAAAAAGTTTACCTTTCCCATGTTTATAACTTTCCAGCATCTGGTGTTTTGAAGCTTGTGGTAACACATTCATATCCTTCTGTTCTCTTTTCCAGCACCGCCTTGTACTTATTTTTTCTGCCTGGAAGGGGATTATTGCAATAAACTTCCATTATTTAGGCATACTTTGTCCCTCTGCACCGTAGGTTAAAGGCTCTTCCTCCTCTATCAACTTATCCTGTCAGCTTTACTATGTCCAAGCTGCTCACATGCCAACGTTAAATGCCATGCAAGCCCAAATTGGCATAGTCAACTAGCATCATGAGCTGATTTCTTCAGTTAATTTAGGTGAACAGTGACATCCAGAAAATGGTTAAACATGATTCTTTTCTTTTGAGCTACAAGGACCTACAAAATTTTGTTATCTCTTGGTAATAATATTGACATTTATAGCCCCCAGAGATTTGGTCTAGTAAAGAGGCAACTTGTGAGTGTGGGCTAGGCGCTTGTCACAAGTTCGAACCTTGCCTCATACAAAAGCCTGATTTTTAAGTGGAGAATGGTACAAGGCCGGGCTTATTATCCACCGAGTTTCAAACCGTGCGCCATTGACTCTCGAGGATTTCTTGGTTATAAAAAAAAACTAACTTTTGTAATCATGTTGAGTCCTATGTAGATGCATTGCAATAATATTTTGATCTTACAATCTATCCTTTGCTTATTTCATTGAATTTTCAGTGTATAATTGATATTTTCCTGTGCGCTCTAAATCATTCAAAAGGTATAGACAAACATCAGGATTGATACCCTGACTGAATCAAAGTTAAGATTCTTGCCTTTTGGTCATATTAGCTTCCTTGTTTCCTATGAGCTCCTTAAAGTCTCTCTCTCTCTCTCTCATGTTTTTATTTTCTTGGGGATAGATGGAGCTCTTAAGCTTAAGAAGCACCGGGTTTTACAATCACATTCATGTCTCCTAAATCCAACTTCTCCCAAGGTTTAAGCTCTTGCCAAGCTTCAACTTCTTAACAATGATATCACTTCTCTATCAATGAAATTTAGGCTTCTTATACTGGCTCTTAGGGATCGTATAGCGTCCTCCTCGGTGCTAAGTGAATCTGTTAGATATTAGGTTGTACTTGCACTTGACGTGAAAAAAGAGGAATATGAAGCGCACATTTAGCTCCTCTGAAATGCTTAATTATAAGCTGATTGTTTGATGGCCTTCCCAGTGCTTGAATTGAATCTGTTAAAATATTAGGTTATACTTGCACTTGACATAAAAGAGGAGGAACAGAATACATTTGTTTAGTTCCCCTGAAGTGCTATACCAGTATAAGTTGAATAAAAATCTCTTATGTAAAGTTTGAAGAACTAATGTCTTATATAGAAGGAGACACTTCTACTGTAGTATGATTGCTCATGTCTTGAGTGAATGTACTTATGTCCCTTTCTACTCATAACGTAACCAGTTGCATATGCAAGGTGTTAGTTGCTCACTTTAACATTGGATATAATAAATACCTTATATATATA